AACACAATGTCCCCGGCCAGGGCTCGAACCCGGACCGCTCGATCCGGAGACAAGCGCACTAACCATGAGGCCACCGCGCCTTCCACAAAAAGAGGAATAAACACCTCATTAGCCACTAGACTAGGGCCTTCTTACTACCTCTAGCTCTCCTGCAGAATCGACAGCTCCATGGACACCTGTCAATCATGTAATGATAGTTGGACACACAGTAACCGTTATCAGCCATTTTGGGGCACGATTTAGCGCGATTATAGCACTCCAGTGGATTGATACGAACTGTGAAGGTAAATGATAGACATCTAAGAGGTAAGCTCAAACCTCTTAGCTAGTGCTTTATTGCTGTTCTTATGTAATTTGTACTTTTCATTGTACTTTGCCGCCTAACTTTCTACAGCACTTTCTCATGTAATCATAAGGTCGTGCGATAATTATTTTAATAAGCCATGCTTGCTCGCGACTCTACAGACAGAATATCAGCCCTCGGTTTACGCGACGTTTTCTTGCGTGGTGGATTTTATGTACTCATCGTGATCCTTTGTTTTTTCCTATATAAGCAATCATAGAGAAAACCTTATAAACAATCCAGTCAGTCAGTCAGTCAGTCAGTCTGTCGGTTAGTCAGTCACTCAGTCAGTCTTCAGTCGATGGGTCGGTCTATCGATCGGTCCTTCCGTCACTCATGACATACAGTTGGTCGGTCGGTTACTCAGTCGGTCGGCCAGCCAGCCAGCCAGCCAGCCAGCCAGCCAGCCAGCCAGCCAGCCAGCCAGTCAGTCCGGCAGCCAGTTAGTCATTCAGTCAGACAATCCGTCAGTCAGTTAGTTAGTTATTTCGTTAACCGGTCGGTCAGTCAGTCATTCCTTTAGCCGGCGCGCTATGTGCGTGGATTAAAAGGATTAAGATATTCTTACGTCGAGAAACATCCAGGGATATCGGAGCACCTTGTGCGGCGTCTTTGGTTATAACCTGAAATACTGACGCATAACATACGAGATCAGTTGGTGAAATGCTTGAATATTGCCACGCTAAGATTTGTGTGGCCATAGGCTATACTCCTTGGGAAGAAAAATGAATATATTACTTATAAGACATATTAGCGGTAGGTATTCAACGAAAATGCGATTTAACAGGTTGGATACTTTGAAGCTAGCGTCAATAAACATGAACACCAATACCTCTTGTTAAATAGTATAACAAGTAACCGTTCATTATATCTGATCTCTGATTAGGAGGAATACCTGAACTCTAAAAACCTCACAGTTAGACAATACTGAAAGGAAACCTAACTTGAAATGTTATTTATACTATACCTGAGATGATGATATAAAGAGTAGTAGAAACGATCGCATTTCGAGCTGTTCGTCTCAATTCGACCATCCCGTCAGAAGCTTCGTATTTTCTGCATAAAATCGTCATATGCCATCATAAAATAGAGCGTCGCATTTATATTAGTGTACTCTAAATCATTTCAGTTTTATTTTACTGCATAAGTCGAATTTGTTGGCAAGGTAAATATTAATTGTTTGAAATCAATATGGAGCCATTTTCCGTCTGGAATGGGAAACACAGTGTTGTGGAGACGGCCCCTCGCCAAAGTCATGTTGGTGCTAAGGCTTATAAAACTTACTTAGAGATGTCAAAAAGAAAACTTACCTTTAGAGGCTAATTTTCCGTCATACTTTGTAGAACCCGAATCCACGTCGCAGTGAGCGAACGAATGAAAGTGTTCCCTCTTGCGTGAATGAACTTGACAGGTGCTACCTAACCAAAACCTTCAGTGTGACAACATTCTTCACGTTTAGACAAATCCCCTGTAAACATTTGTAGGGGGTCGTCTTTGGGTCAATTTATAGCCACATTCAAACAAACCAGTTTGAAATATTTTTTCACGCTGTCTACTTTTTTGTGTCCAAGAACAAATTTACACAAAGTAAATTTGCGCTAAACTCACTTAAAATTACATCTGGATCTTTCCCCGCCTACTTTAATGATCTGTAGCCTCTGATTTCTCAGTAGTTATACCACTTTTATATTAGATATTTTAAAATGTATGAAGACTGGACTACAATAGATTCGCTGCAATGTTTTGAAATTTGATTCAGTTAAACCAGAACCAGACAAAATAATCGATTGAAACCTTTGTTCTGTTGTTTTTATGAACACTTTGCTCTCTAAATCCAAACTAGGGGATTTTTCATTATGATTTGGAAATACAATTTGATAAACTTCTCAATGCTTTTACTAGGAAAACGAGCAAAAATCGCCCATGTGGTTTGGTTTTGTAATTATTTCGAGTTTTTACAACAGGTGATTTAATAGTAAAAACTGGTGGCCACTTTTAAGCTGCTTCCAACCAGTCAGCGATCACTTGAGTTCCGCTTTTGATTTCGACATGCTGAAAAGTATCATGGGAAGTGGTCCTTTACCATTGCTTCTGTCCCACCGAAACACTAGGATCTTCAATCAGACAAGGGTGAGATAACGCTTCCCATAATCCCTTTAGCTATGGTCGCGTGCGCTTTTAACCTTGCGTAGGACAACCATTCTCGAAACAGCTGAATCTAGAAAGCCGATGCGATGGTGTTTCCTATTGTGGGCTTTATTTTTTTCAGATATTTTCAGTCCATTTCTAAATAGTAACCCTTTCTCGTGCTCCTAATCTCAGCTCATATCTGAGAAGCAGGCTTCTCTTTTCGCATGGTTTCTATTCATCACAGGGAACAGCATCTGAGATTCAAGACATATATAAACAATAGCCTCAATTTAGCCCAAAATATGCTCGGACATTTGTCCTCGCACATTATTTGCTTCGAGAAGCGAACAGTTTTCCGAGAGAGAAGCTCGAGGAAAGCTTTGGGCCTCAAGGAACAGATATTAATGTTCGAGGACAAATATCCAAGCATATTTTAGAGTCAAATGTCGAGGGAGGTCTATGATTCTGTCGTCATATCGAACAGTACATTTTGGAAAAGTACAACAATCCTTTACGAGTCAATATCTATTGAGGCGTAATAAATAAATCATCCACCTGCTTTATAAGTCCGGGTCATCACTGATTTACTGGAGGTTTAGCTTGCTGTAAATGCAAACGTCATAAACTAAAAGGCCAATTCTATTTTCTCTGTTTCATAACAGTTAGCTAATTATTGGTGTTTTTAATCAAGAAAGGCAACGTCATCATTTGATCAGAAATGTGGGAAAAAATTTTTGGATGGGATACACAATTTTGTCATTGCACGAAGAGTTTTGATCCTCTTTCTTAATCATCCGAGGTAGGTAAAGCC